AGGGCCCCCAGCCGCGGCTGGTGGAGGCGTTGGCCGGTGTGCCGATGCAGGCGGTGGCAGCTGGCGGGTGGCATTCGGCCAGCGTTAGCGGTGAGGGGCCATGCCGGGTTGGGGGGTTGGGGTGGCAGTGTAAGGCCCCGGCAGGACCAGTCCCCAGGTCCCTGGTCCCGGGGAGCCCGGTGCACAGCGCTGTGCCGTGTGTGGTTGGTGCCGGAGCCCCCCGAGCCCCCAGCTGCTGCCGCTGATGCCGGCGAGGGTTCAGGGCTGAGCTCTGGGGCCGCCCCGACGCGCTCTCCCCCGTGCAGTGGCAGGAGACCTCTACGTGTGGGGCTGGAACGAGTCGGGCCAGCTGGCCCTGCCCTCCAAAGCGCTGGCAGAAGAGCGGGCACAGGACGAGGACACAGGTGCAGGTGAGGGTGCTGCTGGTCGCTGCTGGGTCCCTGCACAGCCGCAGGCAGCGCCGGCGGCTCGGGGCGGGGCCGGTGCGGTTTGAGCCTGGCAGAGCCTGGTCGCTCCCAGGAGCTGAGGGTCGGCTCTTCCCCAGGGGACGCCGAGCTGAGGCCCCACCAGGCGCCGCTGGCCGCCGAGGACGCGGCTTTCATTTCCATCCAGGCGTTCCCGGCGCTGCTGGATCTGCCCCTGGACCTGGAGGTCAGCAAGGTCAGCTGCGGGTCCCGGCACACGGCTGTCGTCACACGTGAGTGCCCGGCTCTCGCCGGCGGGGCCGCAGGCAGCACCCCTGCTTTTGGTGCTGCCCAGGAGCGGGGCCGGGGCTGACGGGGCCCCAGGCGGGCAGAGGCCAGAGGCCGGCAGCCCCCCGGCTGCCGGGCGGGCGCCGGCTGGTGGGGGGCGGCCCGGTTTGGGTGCCGTCCCGTTTGCAGGAGGCGGCGAGCTCTACACCTGGGGCTGGGGTAAGTGATGCCTGGGCTCTGGGATGGTACAACACCCCCCAGCAGCAGCTTTCGTTTTCTACTCCCTTACCCTTGCCTGCTGCTACTTGCACGACGATTTATTTTATCACTGTGAGGTTTCATAGCAGAGCAGTTCCATGGCTCCTGGCTGGAGCCGTTCGTACAGGGGTGCTCTCACGTTTCCTCCCTCCCCCCGGGGAGCCGTCGCCCTGTGAGGGCAGAGCCACATCGTGGCACGACTCTTGTGTCTGCAGGTAAATACGGGCAGCTGGGACACGGGGACAACGCCAGCTCTGACCAGCCACGCCGCGTCGAGGGCCTGGTGGCCGAGGGGCTGCGGGCAGAGGAGGTGGTGTGCGGGCCCTGGACCACCTACGTCTGCGTGCTGGAGCCCTGAGGGCCCCACAGCCTCCACCGCTGCCTGCGGCAAGGAAGACACGGGCAGGCTCTGCCCCTGCCCGCCTGCTGCCAGGACCGGCCCCGGCCCCGGCCCCCCTCTGCCCCCCAGGACCGGGCCTGGCCAGGTTTAGCCCACCGTGAACTGAACTTGCACCCGGGGGCTGGAGCTGCACGAGTGCTAAAGATGACAAGGGCAGGACTCTACGCCATTTATTACATCTATTTTTCTGTAACGGCTGCAGTGGTGGTTTGTGTCGCGTACAAAGGACGGTCCCACCTTCCCCGGACCCCTCCAGCGCCAGCCCCGGCTTAAAGCCATGCCTGACCCTCCTCCCCTCCCCCCAGCTGCACCCCCAGACACACAAACAGCAGCAGCTATGTACACATATACGTATTATTCCCATGAACAGTATGTACAGAGTTACAGAGCAAGGGGACAGAACCTGGAGAATAAATAACAGCACGTGGGGGACTGTAGTGATAACAAGGTGCAAATTCGTCATGATCAGGGACAGACACATATGTACAGAACTTCGTTAACAAAGGTGCAAACAGGCCCCCCGAGCCGTGCCGCGCCGCCAAAGCGCTGGGTGCGCTGTCCTCTGCCGGAGCAAAGGGCGAGGGAGGGCAGCGGGCAGCACTGGCCGGTGTGGAGCAGGTCCTGGGGGGGACAAGCTGCCCCCCCTTCCCAGCGGCAGGGAAGAAGGCCTTGTCCCGCTGTAGCTTGCTTTCTTGCTAGTAATGCGTGCTCAGGCGCTCCCTGCCCCAGGCTCTGCCCCTCCACGGCGCGGGGATGGAGCAGCAGGGCTCCAGGAGGAGGCCTGCTCAGGCTTGGCTCCTGCAAAGTGCCCTGCTCCCCCCCGGGGCCCCCCGGCCTCGCAGCCGGTGTGGGAGAGGCGAGAGCCTGGCCCCCGCGCCCCGCTGCAGCAGGGGGGATCCTGGCACTCAGGTCAAGCGAAGCCTGCTAAGGGAACCTCGGCTAAAGCAAGTCCCCACTAAAACGAGCCTGCTGGGATGTGGAGAAAGGAAGATGCTGATGGACAACAGCTATAGAAATGGAGGGGGAAAAAGCCTATGACGAAAGGCAGCGAAGCCAGCTCTCCCCAGTAGGTCCTGTCTGTCCCGGAGCATGCGCCGCGAGGCAGAGCCCCGTGCCTGAGCACCAACACTCGCCCCAGCCGGGCTGCGGCAGGAGCCAGCACCCACCGCTGCGCTACCCTAACGCGACTGCGTACTCAAATCTTTAATCACAAACATTTGCAAGAATTCCCCAAATAAAAGCAAGTTTTTAAAAGTGCCCCTTTCACACCCTACCCTGGCAGGCAGGACCCCCCGCCCCGCAGAGCGCCAGGCTGGCCGCAGGAGGGCCTGGGAGCCAGGTAAAAGCTAACCCTCCTGCAGGGAGGCTTTGGGCGCGGGGGAGCCGCGTAACCTCTGCCGGAGCAGCGACTCACTACGACTACGAGCGGCTGGAGGCTGGCAGGCAGCGCCTCAGCAGAAGGCGGTGGTGGTGGTGGAGTTCAGGACGCGGGAGCTACTGTCAGACCTGGAAGCCTTTGAAAGTTCGCGCTGTGGAAACAAGAAGCGGGAGATGGGGATGAGGGGACAGAGCGGGGAGCTACGCAGAGCCCTTGCTGCGTGGCTTTGTGGGAGAGCAGGAATCGCTCCCCGC